TACAACAAAGTTAAACAAGGGCCATAACTCAAGGCGTAATTATCGGAAATTGCTGAAATTCAATAGGCTTCTTCGTAACACTAATTTAAATGATGCATATAAATTTCATATAGATCGGTTGATAACTTTTGTCGTTAGAGCGTTCACAAGGTGCAACAAAGTGAAACAAGGGCCATAACTCCAGAAGACATTAACGGAAGTTATTGAAATTAAATAGGATTCTTCATGTCACTAATGCAAACAACATATATCAATTTCAAAACAATCAGACGATAAATGTAGTCACTAATTTAAATGATGCATATAAATTTCATATAGATCGGTTGATAACTTTTGTCGTTAGAGCGTTCACAAGGTGCAACAAAGTGAAACAAGGGCCATAACTCCAGAAGACATTAACGGAAGTTTCTGCTTAAAAGACGACATCGGATTTCTCACAGAAAAGGATTTTAACTTGCTTTGCTTAAGTGCCTTATTACACCTGTCCAAAGTCAACCCAACAACCTCTGCTTGAGGAAGAGAACGCGAAAAGGAGGGTTCCTGACTATGCCAAATATTATCTAGAGAGGAACGAAATTGAACTGAACTAGTCATGGGAGGAGGAGTGCAATGATCCAGAATCCTATAAATTTCCCCAATCACCGAATTGACATAGGAGTAATTGGGATCGGAATTCAAGGACTTGCTGTCCTTACCGACAAAAGAGCGAGGTGAAGTAGGACCCGAAACCTGTTGTGAAAATTCAACGACAGGCGCGGCAAAATGCTCAGCCCGGGAAGAAGGCAACCAAGTCCGTCTCGAGCCAATAGATTCGTCATCTGACAAAATGTCGTTCGACTGGGGAAGCTGACTAGCCAAAACCTGTTGCTGCGGGGACACAAGTCCTCCTTATTAATTCCGTTGCCACATCAATAAAAGATGCCAAGGACAGGTTAATGCTAGCTAACTGTAACTCGGTAGACGACTGTGCGCCCTGGTTGACAACCAGAGAACTTACCACATGAACAGAAGAGACCTGACCCACATCAGTCTTCTGCATAGACCTGCCATTCCCTAAAGATTTCCCATCCTTACCGTGATTCATAGGCTTTTTATTCTTGCTAGTTTTGGTTAATTTGGGATTGAAGGATGCCATGGCGACAGACTTTTTAGACTTCTTTGGGAATGACGAAACTGGTAGAATACAACCATGTGTAGAAATCGAGAGAATATCGTCATTGCCATGAGGCCTTTTGTGCCCAACCTGGGCCACCGAAAGCCATTGGTCCTGGGACCATATTCTACATAACTCGCAAGTCTTTTCAGAAGAACAGTTTGTACTAGTAACACAACACAAGCCAATCACACACCGAACATACTATTACTAGAACCATTTCTAACAGGTACCCGATCAATAGAAATGAAAGGGTTTAACGTCCGACTGTTAACCCTATCAATTCACGTACACTTTAACCAACCAGTGTTGGAGGCAAAGAGGTCACATGACAACAAGTGTTCGTCACAACAACCTCCAAAAACCTTTTAAAAAAAAAATACACGTCTAAATAAACTCAAATGGATGAGAAGATAACAAAATAAACCAAAAAACAAACTCAGAATTCAAAAGATCTGCTTGATGCACTGGATATTTTAAGTCTTAACAGGATGACTGTAAGAAAAAGAATGATGAATTAGTATGGCGATATATTTACTTCCGGTAGCGACAAGCGCCACCTATGGTAAGGGAGACTAGCCATGGTCTAGTATTTTTACTTTTCAAAGGGACAGTCTTACAGGTAAGGCCCAAAAAGAAGATAGGTTGCCAGGCAACAAAACATACGCCCACAGCAGCTAATATTCAAGCAAGGGTTGTCGCATATTTATTCTTTTATAAGTAATTAGAAGCATTTAATAGACAATTTCATACAGATGACATTATCATTTTCGTCGTTTGAGGGTTCACAAGGTTCTAAAAACTAAAACACGGGTCGTAACTCTGGAAGTAATCTACAGAATTTGTTGAAATTCGACAGGTTTTTTCGTTTTACTAATTCAAATAATGCATATAAATTTCATACAGATCAGATGATAACTTTTGTTGTTCGAACGATCACAAGGTTCAACAAAGTAAAACAAGGGCCATAACTCACGGCGTAATTAACGGAAATTGCTGAAATTCAATAGGCTTCTTCGTTTCACTAATTTAAATGATGCATATCAATTTCAAACAGATCGGATGATAACTGTTGTCATTAGAGCGTTCACAAGATTCAACAAAGTGAAACAAGGGCCATAACTCTAGATGTAATTAAAGGAAATTGCTGAAATTCAATAGAATTCTTTGTTTCACTATTTTAAATGACGCATATAAATTTCATACAGATCGGTTGATAACTTAAATAGGCTTCTTCATTTCACTAATGCAAACAACATATATCAATTTCAAAACAATCAGATAATAAATGTAGTCTGTAGAGTGTTCAAAAGAAATTGTGGACGACGGACGGATGGACGGACGGACGGAAGCGACGGCAATATACGACCACATTTCCATGTGGATGTATAAAAAGGGTTCTGTTTCCTGTAACGGATGGAAAATAGGGTAGGGTCGGTAGGTAGGTAGGTTTTTTTTTTTTTTTTTTTTTTTTAATGCTACATTGTTAGATCTAGTAGTAGATCTATTGTAGCAACTAGCATAATATTCTGTGCGAAATAAATCTTCAATTTTATGTTAGGTTGAGTCGACACCGAGGAACATGAAGCACAAATAGATTGGTGGATGGAATTCTTGGATAATTGTTTAAAATGTATCAGAGTCTAGATTATGATTTAAATATTCTCTTAGGGGGCAAATGGACTTTTTAATGGTACTATGCTAAAAAACATAGCGTAGGGAGGCCATTTTGTTCAAGGGAAAGAAATCGCGATGAAAACTTAAAAAATCATATTGTGCCGTCGCACGAAATAGGTCCGTAATAAATTTATTTGTCTTCTGTTAAATACCAATCGAACAGATCGTATCCACCTGTTTGAAATATACGTTAACTTGTTTTTGTCCAATTGCGTGCCGTTACTTATTAGAACGAAGGTTGTGAGGATTATAGCCTTTCGGAATGTGCAGTGGTAAATCTAAACGAAACCTGTAGTCTCGATTTTCACGTCAGTTTACAATCTTGCGTCAACAGTATGGCAGTTTGTACAACGTACCCGACTATTCCGATCGGTAAATGCAGATTCAAAGAACGATGGCATTTATATACATTTATAGCAACAAATAAATAGGCATTTTCACGAATCCGATAGGCTTAGAGTATTCTGAACGGTCGGTCGTTGAACAAAAATGTTTTTGTATTTCTCTTGACACTAAAAAAAAATTGAGTCGGCAGGTTTTGTAATGGGTCGGTCGGGTTACCGGAAACAGAACATTTTTTTTTTGGCCTAATTAAGAATCTAAAGCAATGTAATTCATTCAGGTAAGGTTGACAGAATAATATGATATGGATTTATAAATACAAATATAACAATACACAAATAATGGAAAGGTTTGGGAAAAGCTATAATAGTGAAAACATAACAATCAAAAGGGGGAGATTTTAATACAACCAAGGGTGCTAAATTACCATAGTTAAATTAAATTATGCAGATTAATAACATCATCATATGCCCTGGGGATGTAAAGCCCTAAGTCACTATTAAGTTCAGGTGAATATCTTCTGATGTTTATAGCTTCTAGGATCTTCCTGGTTTTCTTGTTCTGTTGGTTGGCGGTGAGTATTTGGACCTCATTCCATTTAACTCAATGTTGCGGGTGGTTCTGTAGATGTTCTGCTATGGCTGAATTATTAGTGGCAGCTTTGGACCTATGTTCTGTTATTCTTTTTTCAATTGGTCGTTTCATTTCCCCAATATTTATTTGATTACAGGAACTAGTCACTTGATAGACGACTCCTTTGGGTTGAATCGGGACAATTGGTTGCAGCTTACCATTGGCTTTGAGTATTTTTTTCAGGGTGGTGGGGAGTGGGGACCGAGAATGTGGTATCGATGATTGATTTCTTCAGTAGATTGCTCACATTGTATGTTAGATTACCATAAAAGGGCAAGGTTATTCTGATGGGGGATTTTTCAGGTTTTTGACAATCTGTCCTGGTGGTTTTTATCATTTCATTGATCTGCTTATTCACTAGTAAGGGGGGATTAATTACTCAAGGTACAAAACACATGGTGTAAATGGTCCAATTCTTCCTGCAGGAATTCTGGTTCACAAATGTTAATTGCTCTGCGTGCTAGGGTGGATATAAGAACTCTTTGAATATAGTGGGGATGACTGGAGTTGTAATTAATATATTGGTCTGTGAGGGTTGGTTTGCGGTATATTTTTGTTTTCATTTGATTATTCACTTTTATAACTTGTACATCTAAGAATTGTATGGTCTCATCTTTTTCTGTTTCGATAGTAAATTTAATTCTGGGATGCTGTTTGTCCAGGTGTTCTAGTAGGGACATTGGTTCATCATTTTCTTCATTGACCACAAACGTATCGTCGACCTTGCGAAGCCAAAGATAGGAGAAATTTGAGAGGTTCTTAGCACACACTTTTCAAATTCTGTCATGAAAATTTCAGAGATTAAGGGTGATAAGGGACTGCCCAGCTTGCCTTTACCCTGTTTATTCATGGCACCCTTTGAAGGGCCTCATACTAGTTAATAACCCCCTACTCGTGTATTAGATTTTATTCAATAAGCTAATTACCTTGTTGTGCTTATAGTTTTTGTTAAATATCCTTTACCTCTTAGATTATTTTTGTTACTGTTATTTTAATCCATGTTGATGGTTTCACTATGAATTTTGTATATATTGACCTAAAGTTTACTAAATGTCATTGTGCTTGATAACGATAAGAGGATACTTGTCGAAACGTCGTGTTTTTAGAATAAAACTAGTGATTGTATCCCATAAAAACTGTGTTCTGTCACTGTATTATTTATATAATAGTCTGTTTATTTAAAAGGTTTTCTCACCGTTTGCTGTGGTATTGTGTTGAACAAACATTTTACGTGGTTGTTTTCTTGCCATTACTACATCACGTAATCGTAAGAAATGTGGTTCAGTCGTATTATCAACATTAGAAAAAAAATCATACATTTCTTTACCAGCTTCATAATCACCAGTAGATTTATACACCTAGACATAATATAAATATATCATGAAACTTTTACAAAATATGTTTTACTTATCATGTACTGATTCTCTACAGATAACTGTCCAACTTTACAGGATGTGTCAATCTTTATCTGAGAATTGTAAAATTTAAACTAATTAAAAGTAAACACAACTTGTTGCAAATAGATACTGGTAGATTTATTATATATAAATACTCATCGGTTGATCACAAATACTATATATTCTGACTGTATCACATTTGTCTAATAGTTGTAATAAACATACCTGTAGTTTACGTAGAAATTTACCAATAGCTGGTTTACCAACAGAAATAATCTTGGTACGATCTAGTGTAATACGTAAATCAGGTTTACCATCTTCACCGGTTATCTTCTCTACTTTAACAAAATCTTCACCTGCTTCTATTAACACTTGTAATATAACATAACGAGCATTCATATGGGCCTAAAAATAACAATTAAACATAATAATGATAAAACATAAGAATAACAAAAAAAATCATACAAATAACAAAAAAAAACTGCCATTGACTAACCAGGTTCTAGTCAATATCACGTTGCATTATGCAATACCAAAAGCATCCCTGTTATCATACAATTATATATTGTTTTCTCTGAAAATGATATGAGAAACACCCTAGAAATAAATTTTATTGTGAAATCTATGGTAACTGCATTTACTTCTGGAACCTTAGTAAACATAAATCTTACCAACGATTACAGTCTTCTCTGGTGTATGTGCTTTATTTCAGTAACAATCCTGTGATTAATGTAGGAAAGTTGTATTTAGGACTGTTTCAAGACAAAAATAATTTTGTGTATCCGGTTCAGTATTAAAATGATAAAAGTACCTATAAGTATAACAATGACAACATACCTGTTTCCATTTACCAGTGTCAGGAGAATAAAATTCTAAACCAATTAATCCTGCTCTAACCATATTTAACCAATTAATATAAATAATATCATCAGCATCATCATGGGTATGACCAAATATCCTACAAATGAATTTTTTAATAGATTGATACATCATTTAAAGAAATAAAGGTATAACTATGATTTGCAATAGAAATGTTTTTCTCTGTAATCTAATGATCAAACTCTATGAATTTGACGATAATATACATCAACATCAGAAAAAGGGTCCACAGGGTTTCCCCCAGGATTTCTATAAGAGAGAGGAGAAGCATACAATTAATGGCTGAGCTCAGCAAGGCAACGCTACTGAACAGGACAGAACTCTGGGGGTATTGTCCCCATGAAAAGAAAAGTCTTGGGGAATAACATGATTAGACAATAGTGTTGTAATAATAAAGATATGTTGCCAGGCAACGAAACATACACCCAAAGCAACTAAGTCATCCGGGCAGTCAAAACGTTTAATAATATGGTCTAAGCTTTTCAAGTAATCGGAAATCATTGAAAATCGATAGAATTCTATGTCTCATGATCTTAAACTCTGTGTATAAATTTAAAGTCAATCGAATGATAACATTGGCCTGAAAAGCGTCCACAAGATTTTCTGAAGTAATCATTAGGCCATAATATTTATCAGAAACCATTGGAAATCCATAGGATTCATCACCTTATGACCTTAAACAATGTGTATAAATTTAAAGTCAACTAGTTATCATCTTTAACCTGAAGAGCATCCATAATATTTTTCAAAGTGATAAAGGGTCATAACCCTGGAAGTAATTAGTGTAAATCGTTTAAAAACAATAGGATTCTTCGTTGTATGAACTTGAACACTGTGTATAAATTTGAAGTCAATCAGATTTCAACTTTAGCCTCTAGAGCATCCACAAGATTTCTAAAAGTGATTAAGAGCTGTAATTATTGGAAATTGTTGAAAATCAATAGGCTTGTTCATCTCATGACCTTAAACAATCGAATATTAACTTGAGCCTCTAGAGCGTCCACAAGCAATTGTAGACGCCAGACCGAAGGATGGACCGCTGGACTGACAGGGGCGTATAAAAATCATTAAATTGATTACTGCGAAGCTTGATAAGGTTACATACAAGTAGCTAACAATTTTTGTTGTACTCTTTAATTTTATAATGAGAGAGTATTATATTGTTTATAGAGTAGTCTACGTACTTAAGTACATCTGTAGATAGACAGAGATAAAGACCAACACATTCTGCTCTACATTCTTCATAACTAGCTGCTACTGTAGAAAACTTACTGTCCCATGTTTCACCACTTTCATACCATTTACTTATCTATAATAAACACAAAAGTGAATACAAACTCAATAAAATATTCTATAAACACAATCTAGTCCCTAACAAGTTGTCATATTTACCTTTTCACAGGATTCGGTGTGTTTCACTGATTCAATGTCAAAATTGAAAGTGCCGTCTTTTTCCTGAAATACACAAATATGTACATGTACCATACTCTAATAATTGCAAACCCATTTCAAGATATATTCAACCAAGGTTAATAACGCCATCTAGTTATTAAATAAAAGTATATTTCTTACAGGATAACAAAAACTATATGTAAGTAAGCTCACAAAATTTAAAAAAAAAAAAATAAGGAACAAATCATCAATTGTCAATCATAAATCATAAGTTAGAGTTGGTATTTGTTGAGGCTCTCAATTGTCCAGAAATCACATTCCTTTTAATTTATGACTATAAACCAGTGGTTGCAAGGCAGGTTACGCCCACATTTTGAAAGAGATGGATAGAGAACAAGCTAAAAACAAAAATGATTTTTTGTACAATCAGGGGCCATAATCCAGAAAGTTATGGCCTGAGATGCGCAAATATCAAAAGGGACTGAGATTTTTGGAATATTATTATTATTATTATTATTATTTATAAGCGTTTATATAGCACCATTTCCACAAAAGTGCTCAATGACGCCTTACAATAAAGATAATATGATTGACAAAACAAATATAAGATTAAAACATAAAAAAGTGAATAATATACATAAAAGTTGAGTAAGTAATGCATAAAATATAGATATAATTATCACAGAGATGATTAATTAAAAGCCCTATTAAACAAGTGGGTTTTTAGAGAAATCTTAAATGATGATCCCTATATACCGTTCCAGAAATAAGGCGAGCAGCTGAGTTTTGTAATTTTTGCAGTTTTTCAAGATGTTTGAGGGGTGCACCGTACAGGACAGAATTCAAAGAATCAATACGCGAAGTAATTAATGAATTTATTAGTGTTTTTGTGGCATCCACTGACAGATATTTATGTATTTTAGCTATGTTTCTTAAATTAAAATAACTTATTTTGCATATATTGTTTATGTGATTTTCCAAAGAAAAATTGGAGTTAAAAATTACACCAATATTTCGGGCTGATTGAGAAGGGACAATGCAGCTATCTCCTGCTTGTATTGACAGATCAAAGTTTTTCCTGTTTAAAGACGACCCAATAACCAAATACTGAGTCTTATCTACATTAAGTTTAAAAAAATTGTTGTTCATCCAGATTTTAATGTCCGCTTGGAAATGTCGAAGTCACTTTTGATAGGTTTAAACGAAATGTACAACTGTGTATCATCCGCATATAGATGAAATAATAATCCATGATGTCTTACTATGAGGCCAAGTGGTTTAGTGTATAAACTAAACAAGATCGGTCTGAGAACGGAACCTTGTGGTACACCGGAAGCCAGAACAGAAGGGTAAGAAGATATTCCGTTCACTACAACACTTTGTGAGCGGTTAGTAACATAAGAGCTTAACAGACTCAGAGCGTTTTCATTAACACCAAAATCAGATTGTAGCCTGTGAAGCAAGATATCGTGGTCTACAGTGTCAAAAGCCAAGGATAAATCTAAGAGAACTAGAAGCACACATTCACGGCGATCTAAACTCATGTTGATATCATTATGTACCCGAACAATAGCAGTCTCGGTGCTATGAAACTTCCTGTAAGCACTCTGAAACTCTTCCATTAGATCATTGTCACTGACATGGGATGTGAGTTGGCTTGCTATTACACGTTCTAAGGTTTTACTTTTAGATAGGAAATTCAGGTTTGATACTGGACTGTAATTTTTCTCCAGATTCTGATTTAAGTTGAATTTTTTTAATTAGTGGGCAGATAATTGTGGTTTTGAAATCGTCAGGAACAGTGTTTTCACAAATACAAGTGTTTATAATGTCAGTCATAATAGGTACAATGGTTGGTAGCAGTGATGGGATTTTACCCGTATATTCCGGACTTGTCCGAATCTTTTTTCGAAACGCCCAAAATTGTCCGACCGGGAATATGCCCAATCGGACATCAAGACATGGTGAATAATATTCAAATTCTAAAATTAATATAGTGTACTGAGTGTATAACTACCGTGCAACCCGATTATCGTTGATAATAGGCTGGATTGATTAGTTAATTAAGTGATCGACTATTTATCGTGTTATATCGTCTATACACACCTACCTTGATTAACTACTATTCTGCCTTGATTGGCTTACTTAATCCTTTGTCGGACAATTCATCAAATCAATCCTGAACCGAAGTCATTGCTTCTCCTTTGTCGGACGATATATCAATCCAATAAGAGTGATTATAAACTTAATCTGATTAACCCGTGATTTCACCATTGTCTCACGTTTTAATCTCCTTTGTGTCGGACAATAACACGTAGAAATTAGTCATATAATATGTCACATATCCTGATAGTATATAACACCTCAAATCAACATATATTGTATCACACACACGCAAATGTCGCTTATATAGTTCAGTAATTAAAATGAAAGTACAAATCTCGCGGGACACGTGAAATTAATAGATGTTACGTGCTGAATCCAATACGCATGATGTCCGGGAAAAGATTCTATTTTGATGGCATATTGTCGGATTTATGATCATATTTTGAAGGGAGTTTATGTCTTTAATTAAATAAATAAACACGCCAAGAAATGTTGACGAATATTTCAATTGGAATGACGTAAGTAGTTAATTGTTTTAGACAATAGCGCGTGCTACAGTCGAATGCAATTATTGAGCAGTTGGTGTCACTCGCTCGTTGTATTAGAGCGTCGTTAACGTTTCGGGATGTCATTTTTTTACCTTCCGTATATAAATCGAAACGGAGTATCAGACGAATGTCGGACTTGGCTGAAAAATGTACCGACGTATGACCCGAAAAATACGGTAATTTTGGGGGAGTTTGAAACAGATCGGCAGCAGTCGGCACGCTGCCATTCTATAGTATTACGATGTCATGTAATTTTGTAGGAATATTATTGACATAAATTTGAATGCCGTACGGGTTTTAAACATGAAATATAACGAGGTGCACCTATTTTTTTTTACATATGAATTTGAACATATTTTGTTGACACGTGATTCTTAATTGTGTTTTGAAAACGTCTGCTTAAATTACGATAAGAGTTATGCCCCTTTATTTTCGGGAAAAATGTCTGACAAGAATTTTTTTGAAATCCCATCACTGGTTGGTAGGCATTCTTTTAATAATATTGTCGGGAGGGGGTCAAGTGATCATGATTTTGAGGAAGATTGCTTTATAACTTTAGCCACTTCGGACACAGACACGTGTTGGAAATGAGAGAGAGTTGGAACTTCAGAAGACAAATTGTTATGACAGACATGTCCGCTGATCTCAGTAACCAATCCTTCACGAATCTTTACAATCTTCTGGGAAAAGTAAGCAGAGAATTTATCTGGGAGTTCCTGTACAGACACAGTTTCTGGAAGCTTAGTGGCGCCATAGTTTGGATCAAGAAGTGTACTTGTTACTCTGAATAACTCTTTCTGTTTGTTTTGACCAGTCTTTATTTTATCCGAGTAGTAGGACTTTTTAGCCTTGCGTATTAAATGATTTACTGTATTCTTTTTACTTTTAACATCTGTTCATGTATTGTGAGATTTGTTTGCGCCACTTACGTTCTGCTTTATTTCAGAGTTTCTTTGCTTCAAGGATATCATTATTAAACCAGGCGAATTTGGATGAAGTCTGATTGTCTTTGTTTGTAAAGTATTGTAAAATAGCTATGGGCTTTAGCATTAACATCACTGAGAAGATGAATATTAAAAAATTCGGTGTTATTGTGACAGAGTGATATTTTTAATATATATAGTTGGTTTTTAGTCATTTTAATCTGCACTTAATATAAACTAATAGTGGTTGTACTATCCCTTTAAACCTATTCTATACTATCCACTCTGTACCTGGTCTGTAGTGAGTTCCACTCACCATATCTTCAACTTTAACCTTCCCTATTTGTCTAGTGAGTTGTTGTATGAAAGTTTCCTTGGAGACATTCGTCCTATAGTTTTTATATGCAAAGGAAGACACTTTTCCTCTCCTTAGTTATATAAAGGTTGTTAACTGGTATTGCGTATTTATTAGTATACAAGTGTTGCTAGATGTAAATATTGAAGCTTCTTCAATAGTGGTTTGACAGTTTATTTATCAGGGTTTCTTTTTATAGTTAATAAAGAATTTTCAAGGAATGAACCCTTGTGTGTGGTCATTTTAGCCCCGGCATTTGACCCCCTTCAACATTTGGAGCCCGATAAGGTTTTTGAAGATTAACAACATTTGGAGCCCGATAAGGTTTTTGAAGATTAACAACATTTGGAGCAAGATAAAGTTTTGGTTTGATACAACATTTGGATCCTGATTAAGTTTTATACGATACAGCTATATATACAGTACTGGTACTAGTGATTTAAGATCTAGTCAGCTGACAACACCTCATTGAGCTCACGCGCGACGCGTACGCGATGGTACAACGTCTGTGATTGCAGTGACATTAACTTTTATATTCTATTTGTTTAGAATGTAGTTTTAGGTATTGTGTGTATTTTGATTCTGTGTGGATTAGATATATCATAAGGATTAAGGTTGGTAATAATTATTTATCTTAATACAGAATTATATATATATATATTATTTACTGTGCTTAAGTCCTGTTATAATGATATGAATAATTACTATTCTAAATAATTCTATATCCATATTTTTGTTTTATATATATATATATATATATATATATATATATATATATATACTATAGGCCTATATACTATAATCCTTGTATTAAATTAAGTGTAGATAGTTAGAATAGGTAATAATCATTTGCTTATGTTTAATCTGTACAATTTATTAAGGAAAGTGCTTATAGACTACCCTATATCTTGCCATTTAGGTCATTTTTTTTTCTTTCTTCAAAAATTTGAATTTTGGTGACATGTAACTTGTTTACATTTTCAACTTCCTGTTGTCTAAATTTAGCAACTTCCTGTAGGTCAGAAGACATATTTATTTCTTACTTCCTGTTTACATTTTGACAACATCCTGTAATTATATTCTTGAACATCACCTACATTTAACCAAATAAAATCACATAATCATTTTGAT